CCTAGTTGCCCACATGTCTAAAAATCGAGTATATGCAACCGGCTATGCTATTTTTTTTTTAAAGAGGGTTTTTTGCGCCCACGTGTCAGTATAGCTGCTCGGCTATACGATTTAAATATATTACATTTATAAGATATAGTCGTGCAACTATAGTATTTAATTAAAAAAAATTAAGAAAAAAGGACCCTCCTAGGTGCATTAGTTTATACCTTATAAATATTAATTTGCTTGTTTCAGCCAGTATATAATACTTCAATATAATTTTTTTTAATATATATTATTTTTATTCAATAGTATGTGAGAATTATTTGTATAATACCTTAATTTTGTGTGTCTTATTTTTGTAAAAAAATATGTGTATTAAACATGAGAAATGCGTAAGTACATATACAATACGAGTATTTTACATTTGTTTTTTTTTTAAGTAAATTTTTTCGAGTCTTTAAGAAGTGTACAGAACACGTATATATGTGTAGGGGTCTTTTTGTTCCAGCAGCCTGACGAATGGGCTTAGGCTGCCGTAAGAGGAAAACGAACAAAATCCCCCAAGTGCCTGAGTGGCTTAGAATTTTTAGAATTTGTAGATTTAGATTTAGATAAGGCTGGTGAAGAAGCCAAGTGGCTTAGAATTTTTTTTGGAGGATATACCTATTTGGCCTAAGCCTGTGACGGCTGTTTGTATATATTGTGATTGTATAGTTGCTCAAGCAAGAGCCAAAAATAATGCATACAATGGAAAGTCTAAACATATTAGACGAAGGCGTAATACAATCAAGCAGTTGCTCTCTAATGGAATAATTTCCATTGACTATAAAAGGTCAAAACAAAATCTTGCGAATCCGCTAAGAAAAAGGTTTGACAAGAGAGCAAATCAAACAAACATCAAGGGAATGGGATATTTAAAGCCAATTCAATAAATGAATCGGCCTAACGGAAACCTAACTAGCTGATTGGAGATCCCATGGTCTAGGTTCAATAGGCAAACTGGTTAGTGAAAATAGTACTTAGGTGACGAAGGGTAAATTTTACGACAAAAACAAGACACGACAATCTTCACACTTTAGACCTTGACCGAATACACATATGACTAGTCACCTGCTAGTCACGAACAATCACAATCAAAAGATCACACAAAACATGCTGTATTTTGGACCTTTTGTCTTGGTTTTACGAAACAGCACTCTCGAAAACATATGTTGCTGCTTTTTTAAAATAAAAAATACATAAATAGTATAGCCACAAGAGTATGGCCGGCTTGCTATACTGGGTATTTCTAAAATTTCTTTGAAAAGTAGTATAGCCGAACGGCTATACTATTAAAATACATTGGGTACTTGGGGTTGAGCCAAGTAATTGGAAATTGGCCCACACAAGGCAATTGGGAGTTGGGCCAAGTAAAAGTCAATTGGGCTTCAAATTCAACTTGACCATTGAGTATATAATACATAATATTTAATTATCAAAAAGATGACCTTGGAACTTGGGGCACTTGGGCATTTAAGATTTAAATTAATTATTTAGTTTAGAAATAATAATTTTTTTAAAATATAATTAATTAATTCAGATTAGTTTGATTAATTACAGTGGGGGCCTATTTTGTTATTATTTTTATTTCTAATAATAAATAGTATAATATATTGCCGTTTAATAATCGTGTTATACACGTACATGCGTATTTTACAACAATACTTCTATTCTCCGTACACAAGGAAAACGTACAATATACGTATGTGCGGATTTTCCATGTTTAATACACGTGTTTTTACACAATTGTTAACAATACACACTAAATTCACACAATTTTACATATTATTGAATAAAAATAATATATATTGAAATATTATATAGTGGCCAAACTTTATGATCATTCATATGCTTGGTAGTAAGGTAAGTTAGCCTAAGATAGACGGATGATGGGATGTTTCTGACAAGACCGTTGGTTTCTTGTGATCATCCCCTGTTCTGAACTCGGAAGTCTGGTTGGCAATTTGGTTCTTTCTGGTTATGGTGGCTATCGTACAGCTTGCTTCTTTGCTAGGCACGAGGAGAGTCAAGTCGGCATTAATGGTGATAACCCTCTTCAGTCTCTCACGTGGGGCAATTTTGTAACCGTGAGACTCAGACTTTTGGGCTCTATTGAAGGTGTGGGCTTTGATCAATTTCTTTCTATCTTGATGGCCTTTTAAGCGTAGGCAAATCTTTTTCCCAAATAGAAACAAAAAGGGTGGTGGACTTGGGCTTATGAAAATATTCTTTTGAGGAGCAAACCATTTTTGGTATGTTTACCAAAATTGGGTACAAATATTGCCCTCTGGTTTTAATGGGCCCTTCAGCTTCTCGCGATGTCTGATGAGTGTACAAACACAAACCAGGCCTTTTTTCTTCTTTACTTCGACACTGACCAGACCCTTTCTCTCAGAACCTCGCACTGGGAAAATGAGGAAACACCTCTTGCTCCTAAAAGTTGGCTTGAACTTCTTTAGTGTAACCCCACCTCCGGACATGAAATAGGCTCTTAGGTCTGATCCTGAGAGAGGGGCACCCATAACCTCAAGAATCCCAGCAGAAGTTAAGCCTCCTCATGGCAATTCTATAAACTTTATCAGGATTGATTGTGAATCTTGAGCGGATATGAAGGCCCTAAGAGTAGCGAAATAGCACATAAATTTCAAATGCTGATCTATAATGTAAACCAAGATTTCTAAACAACAGGAAATCCATATGTACTGGATAAGTTCCTAGTTCCTACCATCTTACGGAAGAAGATTTCAACTTGTGATCATAAATAGACTCCAACAACAATAACAAATGAACCCATTGAAGGTGTCACTCAGTCACTGCATTGAGTCACCTAGAAGCCTACTATAACACCATAACCGTTTCAATGAGTTGGGAATTCATTTTAAATCTACCACAGAGCTTGTAAGACTACAGTTTCAAATCACCAAATTCACAAAGCGCATTGTACGTTTTCAGCTGCTCTACGTTATTGCACGATCAACTAAGGATTTAGAGTAACTTACAGCGAAGGCGACAATGGCAGAAGAAAGGGCAAGAAAGCCATACTTGGCCATACATTCAGAGAGTCCAACGAAGGTGCTAGCAATCCCAAACATGACCCTCCATAGCAAAGCACACACCACCAGTGCTCCAACGCCCAAGAGCACCAGATTGTTCCTCTTCCAGAACGCCTCAATCTGCAACCCTATGGCCTCCTGGTAGCGCGAGAAAGCCGAGGTGGCGGCGGAGAGCGGCTTATCGAACACCTTCTTCGCATTGACTTTGCTGAAATTCGGTGGCTTGAAGGAGAACCTCAGGCCAAGGCCTAGGCCCAGCCCCCGCCCGGAGCGGCCGCCACCGCCGCCGCCGCCGACTGGTTTTGGGTGAGAGGGGAATTGGGGAAGAGGCCCATTGTTGGAGTGGTAGGTCCTCCTGGAGCCGGTGAGTGGGGACGAGGGTTTTGAGATTTGATTGTGGTGAAATCTGAGCAGACCTTGGATGATTCGAGACGAGGGTTTTGACATTGAATTTTGTTTTAGGGATTTGATGTCGGATTTTGAAATGAACCAGCTTTCACCAAATGCACAAACTTTACTCGGATCAATAACCAAAATCAAAGCTTTCTCTCACCTGCCCACATTTCCCACCATTAAAAGTATAAGGGTAATTTTCTTTGCTCTCTTCACTCAAAACTCATAAGCACGCGGTCGTTTTTGGTAAACCGCCATGGATTCTTTCTGTTCTGAACCAGAGGACCTTTGGGTTCACTCCCTTCCTTCACCTGACTGATTCTAGTCAATAAACAAACCGTTGTTTACAACGGAAAATGAAAACCTTGCAAAAATGACTTTGCTAAGTGTAAGGCTTTTTTGGCTGAAAAATAAAAAGATTGAGGCTTTTTTTAACTTTTTTGGTCCACGTTCAAATGCGAGTTTGGTCAAGCCTTAGGCAACCAATGTGAGAAGCAAATGGGCTCTTTATGTGAGCTACATTCATGGGTCCATTTTGGCACAGAAAAACCCAATAGTGAACCAAACATCCTGGGATGTGTTTTTTAATCCCAAGTTGTGAGTTAACGAAAATTCTCTTCATTTGAGGCCTTTTGGGGTTTGGTTACAATTTCTTTGGTTTCAGACAGAGAGTTAACTTGAGAAGTATTCTTTTATAACCTTAGTGAGGAACAGCCCAAAGAAGATTTTCTATTTGAATGGATAAAAGTTAGAAGAAGACCAAGGGCAGTGAAGAGCTTATTAGCAACATCTTTATAGCAAAGTGCCTCAGAAAAACTTCACAACCAACCATCCAAAGAAATAATACTGCAGAGTATATAAATCTAAACCCGCCTTCACAGCTCTCTCTCTCTCTCTCTACACATTTTTCTAATTTCACTCTCAAAAAAAGTAAAGCTTTTTATTATTTAACAAAGTTTAGTGGAAAATCAAGGCTCACTCACTCATTGTTGAAACTAATCTAACGATTTTAAATTATACATGAAACAGATCGAACTGTTTCCATTAAAAATATCTATAGTGCCTAATTAGAATGACCAACTATTAAATGCTAGAACATTATTGTTCCCTACGCTATTCCAAAATTATACCATGAAGATGGCAGAGCAAACAAAATATAAACGCAGGAGTGGTCAACTGGTTATCTGGAATTTAAGCAGGTTGGATTGAAAAGATCTTGAGTTCTTCAAGTATTTTTCGAGATGTCGCGTCTGATTTTGGAGAGAGCGTCCTCTTCTTCTGTGGGAGAGGTCCCATTTTATAAGCAAGAAGAAGGTTCTGATGATAATGATGGCTAAATGGAGGTTGCCTGTCTGGTGCTTCCAGACTCAGCTGCTGATTCACTGTTCTGGCCTGGAAGAAATTGATTAATACCCACTCTTGCGGGGGTTTTTGTAAAATTTTCTTTAATAAATAGTATAGCCGCACGGTTATATTGTATTGTTGACCTTTTGTCTCGGTTTTACGAATAGCACTCTCGAAAACATAAACAAAAAAAATATGCGACTATATAAATTTCAAGGGTATAGCCGGCCGGCTATATTGGGTATTTTTAAAATTTCTTTGAAAAGTAGTATAGCAGAACGGCTATACTATTAAAATACATTGGGTACTTGGGGGTTGGGCCATGCTAGGTAATTGGAAATTGGCCCACACAAGGTAATTGGGAGTTAGGCCAAGTAGAAGCCAATTGAGCTTCAAATTCAACTTGGGCATTGAGTATATAATACATAATATTTAATTATCAAAAAGATGGCATTGGGCTTTGGGGCACTTGGGCATTTAAGATTTAAATTAATTATTTAGTTTAGAAATAATAATTTTTTTATATAATTAATTAATTCAGATTAGTTTAATTAATTTCAGTGGGGGCCTATTTTGTTTTTATTTTTATTTCTAATAATAAATAATATAATATATTGCCGTTTAATAATCGTGTTATACACATACATACGTATTTTACAACTATACTTCTATTTTTCGTACACAAGAAAAACATTCAATACACGTATATTTGAAGGAGGAGACAATAATATGCAGCCAGCGGCCACAGCAACTCACGAGGACAGGGCAACCAAAATACAGAGACTGAGGAGTGCTTTCAGGATATGCGGGCCACAAGGGTCCTTTCTGTGGCCAAACATGGGCATCTCTACCCCACCCTCAGCCACCCACCTCATCCCTATACCTCCTTAGCCTTAGCCTGGATCTCCTGTCAAGCCTGTAGCCTAGCTATAAACCCTCTGCCTCTCCTCCTATTTTTCTTCCACCTGGGCCCCCCTCCAAGTCCAAGAGAAGTGTCACCGTCACCAACACCCTCCTCATCAACCTTAATGAGCTCCCCAACCCTAACCCTAGTATAACCTCCAAAACGCCTCTGAAACTAGCACTGCATTGTCTAACACCCTTCATCCACTTGGAATTGGTGCTGCAACATTGCCCGACATCTAGAAAGCTTTCCCATGATTATTGTTTCTTTGTTTGTTGTAGTGTTTTTCAAGGATGGGGTTATGAGATTTTTTTTTTCTTGAGTAAAGAATTCATGAGCGGCATGGTTAATTGTGAGTCTATTATGGCAGATGCATGGTGGGCTACCATTATAGTTTGATCATCGAGCATTGGTCAACATACCAATGTCTTTCTTTTTGTTGAAGTATAGAAATTGAAGAGTATTTCACTACAACGTGGAAAAGGAAGCAAGTTGTTTGTGCTGACAAAGGAGAAAAATGTCTTACAATATTGCTTCTAATTCAAGGAAATCATATCGAGTTTGAAAAAACAAAATGGCCGTCTTTGGACGAGCTGGATTTTACCATCAATCACAATCTGCAAATAGAAGGTGACCCTTAAATTAGTCTTACCTGCTGTGGTGATCTGTCACCTCTGAGGATGTAGAAATTTAGGAGACATGAAAATATTATAGACAGTTGCATTAAGCCATTACACATGTGAAGAAAGAAAAAGAATTGGGCCATATTCGTTCCTTTTTTGTTTCATAATTTAATTTTCTTGATTTTTTGTTTTTTTGTTTTTTTGCCGCGGTGATTTTCTTGGCATTACGATCAACAAACATAAGTATAACCTTTCATCTTTTTCAATTTAACAATTTTCATTCATGAAATATTAGATCATGGAAAGAACCATTCCCTCGTGTTTTTCATCTAGGCCGACAACCAATGTCTCAAATCAGGAGAAGATACGTGGTAGTTTATACAGTGCCATAATTCCAACTTAGCAAACCCAAATAAATAAATAAATAATAATAATAATAATAATATATAATGCAAGATTGCAACTTTGTTTCTTGCTGAGATGAATTAGAGGTCAAAAGAACCGTAAAAAAATTTAAAAATTACTTGTGTATACTTAAATTAAAATTTGTAAATTAATGATACCACAAGAAAATTAAGACTGCCTAATGACACAAGTGCAATTTGGAGATTTTCAAGTGGGAAAGTAGGAAAAGTTCATCTAAGTCAATCTGTTTGGTAAGGCTGAAGAAGTGTGTTCACTGCATGGATTTTTTAAAAAATGCGAGAAAACATATATATTCCTATCCGTGCAAATAAAATTTTGTTATTTTCTGTTATGCCGTCTTGGTATATATAATATATATATATATATAGTGCTTGGGGTGAATAGTGTGTGTTGTGTGTGTTTTGGTTGAAGAGAGAGAGAGAAAGGGGGAGAGAGGGTGATGACTGATGAGTGTACGTAGACAGAGTCAATCCACCTGTATTTTGGATGTAGTGTCTCCAGTTAGTGCAGACGAACTAGGGTGTGATCTTTAAGTTCAGTGAGGGATTGGGGGCCAAGAAAAAGGATTTTGTAAATAAAATAAAATTAAAAGCAGGAAAGCAGGCTAGTGTAGACTAGGGAAATGATGTGATTTCTAAGCCCTGACAAGGTGGTGCTCTCCTCCCACTACTCCGACATGGACTCTCTCTGTCTCTGTCTCTCTCTGTCTCTCTCTCTCTCTCTCTATTATTATAATAATAATATTCGTAGAAAATATCATTAGGTACTTTACATCAATATTGGGATTTTTGACCAAAAAGGCCCGGGGACCCTTTGTCTTTTGGTCATGTTCGTTTAGAAATTGATAACAAAAGTTTTGTCTTCTCTCTCTAAAACTTCTAACGAATAAAAGAAAAAGAAAGAAGAAAAAAAAACAAGGCACAGCACGTGACCACCCTCTTTTATATATATATATATATATATATACATATAATATTTTACATTTTACATCTACAGTAGTACAGTACAGTCTTTCATGCATCCCAACGCCAAATGGCCTCATTCATCAGGAGATTTCTTCTTACAAAATTATTAATAGGCAATGCAATGATGAATTTTATATATCCCATTATAAAATATTAATATATCCCATTATATATATGGTCTTTAATTCGGTGAATTTTGGTCATGCATGTTGTTAGTGGTCCATATGGTAATATCCTTGTATATATATATGTGGTCTTTTAATTTGGTGAATTTTGGTCGTGCATGTTGTTGGGGGTCCATATGGTAATATCATCGTTATTTGTTTGATATCATGCAGACATAACATAAAGTACGAAGAAAAATAAATTCGGCCATCCATAGAGTCCAATTTTCCTGTTACTAATTTTCCTATGCCCTCGTGTTTCCTTGTTAGCTTTGTGACATGTGGCACACAACTTAACAGTAAAATAATAATGAACTTAACAGTTTTAGTAGCGTTAAAGAGTAGCGTCAAGGGTTAAGCTACGTGTCATAAAATTAAGAGAGCAACGGGGAGGCACAGGAAGTTTAGTAACCGGGAAATTGGACTCTCATCCATATGGGAACATCCTTTTAAATTAATGACTCCTTTAAATTATTAATTAAATGAAGATAATATGGTAAATTTAAAAATTCAAAAAATGCCATTGGTTAATTCAAATATTAAAAATTTAAATTATTAATTAAATGAAAATAATATAGTAAATTTATATTTTTTTTTCATATTAAAAAATTTTAAAATTAAAAACGAAATCAGATAATAAATTGTAGAACATAACTACCAATATTATATTTTATTAATTCAAAAAATAAAATAAAACCAATTAGTTAGTGTAGACTAGCGACTAGGGTGTATCAGGGAAATGCAATAATGATTTCTAAGCCGCAGCAGCTTGACAAGGTGGTGCTCTCCTCCCACTACTCCAACATGGACTCTCTCTCTCTCTCTCTCTCTCTCTCTATTATTATAATAATAATAATAGATTATAGAACAAAACTATCAATATTATCTTTCAAATATAAAAAATTAAAAGAGGATATTATAGTAAATTTATATTTTTTTTTCATATTAAAAA